CTCACCTTCTTCCAGTCTGAGGCTCTGCAGCCTCCACACCACACAGTGAGACAGCTGGTCAGAACGCTCTCTATGGTGCTTCTGTAGAAGGTGGTGAGGATGGGTGGGGGCAGGTGGGCTCTCCTCATACTCCGCAAGAAGTACAAGCGCTTCTGTAGTTTTCTGACCAGTGAGGTGGAGTTTACCTTCCAGGTGAGGGTGTCTGTGATGTGCACCCCCAGGAATTTGCTACTGTTGACCACCTCTACAGCTGAGCTGTTGATGACCAGTGGAGTGTGGCCAGGCTGTTTCTTCGTGAAGTCCAAGAGGATCTCCTTTGTCTTCTCTACGTTCAGGATCAGGCTATTGTTTTTGCAGCAGTCCACCAGGTGCTCCTCCTCCTCTCTGTAGTCCAGGTCTTTGTCGTCTCTGATGAGGCCCACCACCGTGGTGTCGTCTGCAGACTTCACGATGTGATTGGTGATGAACCTAGGGACGCAGTCATATGTCATCAGGGTGAACAGCAGGGGGCTCAGGACGCAGCCCTGAGGGGAGCCTGTGCTTAGACTGATGACATCAGAGGTGTTCTGTCCAACCCGGATTGACTGTGGTCTGTTGGTGAGGAAGTCTAGCAGCCAATTTCGAAGGGTTGTATTAAAGCCCAGCTGTTCAAGTTTACCCATCAGATGTTGTGGGATGACGGTGTTGAAAGCTGAACTTAAGTCCAGGAACAGCATCTGCACATGGGTGTTCTTCTCCAGGTGTGCCAGGCTCAGGTGGAGAGCAGCAGAGATGGCGATCTCAGTGGAACGGTTTTGTCGGTAGGCGAACTGGAACAGGTCGAATGTTGGCGGCAGACTGGAGAAAATGTGTTCTTTAACCAGCCTTTCGAAGCACTTCATCATGAGTGGAGTCAGTGCGACAGGCCGGTAATCATTTAGTGAGGTGACCTGAGGCTTCTTTGAAACCGGAACAATGGTGGCAGACTTGAAGCATGCTGGCAGTATGGGTTGGTCCAGCGAGGTGTTAAAGATGTCTGTGAGGACACCAGCCAGCTGATCTGCACACTCCTTATACACCCACCCAGGTATATTATCAGGCCCTGGGATCTTCCTGGGATTGACTCTCCTCAGAGTTTTCCTCACTTCAGCTAATGATTAGCTGATTTATGATTGGGAAGCTGGGACAGAAAACACAAATAAGCCTCAAGGTCAAAGAAACTGACAGCCTGATTAATGGCTGCAGCTAATTGAGCCACATGGAGGAGATAAAGGTAGAGATTAGCATAAAAGGTTTCTCTGAGGTATTATCAGATCTATTCCTGGAGAACGTCTGTTCACCTGTGTGAAAACATTTTAAAATAACAGTGGTTCTAAACCATTCCTTGGACGGTCGACACTGTCAGCATTGGTCCAGCAAAACCTAAAAGATATCTCTTTTGTTATATCCCATAAAAGATATGTAATTTTTAAGAAAATATTTTATATTTAATCAGTATTAAAGCAACTGTCACAATAAATAGTTCAAATATTATGATGTGCTATTTTTTCACTCAGCATATTGTAAAAATATGATTTTAGCCCTTCATATTATGGAAAGATCCTCTTGATACAAGAGAAAACTAAGATTTTTAGGAAAATGGCTGTTTATCAATAAATCTTCAATCAAAAGGTAAGAGCAGTCAACTTTAGATTAATTAATTAGCTGATTACTCACATCCCTTGTTCAGTGTGACTCTACAAAACACAAGATATGTTTCAAGCACAGATACGCCATTTAAATAAACCTTTAGCTTTGGTTTTTGACCGACTGCAGCCATTGTGGTGTCAATACTTTTGCAAAATCCATGGGTTGTCTAACTCTCAGCGAACTCCTTCCATTTCTCCCCATTGAACTGCAGGCACCATATGGCTGATCTTGCCCCTGACCAATCAATGAGGGGAAGTCTGTTCTTGTCACTAGTTACCACTGTTCAGCCCAGGAGGATCCAGTGGGATCTGCTTTATAAAACAGGCTGGATGGGATGGAGTTGATGGAAAAAGGACTTACCTGAAGCTTAAATGTTTAATTTTTACAGCTAAATCTGTTTAACACATTGTCTGTCATCTGATCATCTGTCCTCCACCAAGAACACAGAACACCTTATGATTTAGTACCTGTGGTGCAGCAGAATTAAATGTGGTATCTTTTCAAGTTTTCCATGTTTCCTAATTGTTGAAAATTATCCCCCAGACTCAATTTATTCATGCAATCAGCCGACGAGGCAGAGAGACACAATGTACATCTGATTAGCTAACTCTCTACCCCCTCTAAGAATGTAATGTGTTATTTTCTCAATAGGGTCACAGTGAAATACGACATATTTCTACTGCCGTTGAGGAATTAACAATTAACCTGCTAGTGGTAAAATCGGAAACCAACCCTTAGATCAGAAATCCCAGAGATCTACTGCCCTACGGTTAGATACATCCCTGTTCTAGCAAACCTGAATCAAATGAAGGGCTCCTTTGCCAAAGTTGATGTCATGTTGAGGAGATAATCATTCATTTGATTCAGCTGTGTCGGTATGAGGGTGCCTGGTTGACTTCAGGTCCTCATCCTGTTCTGGTCCCTTCAGAGGACACACAGAGGAGTCTAACAAAATGTTTTGTGATGACTGCAAATAGGTTTCTACATCTATGGTTGGGCTATGTGTCCAACAGCTGAAGTGTTGACCAATTTGAACATTTTTGACAGAATGCTGATGCCGTTACAGAACTCTGCCTAATATAGTCCCGCACTGCATGATTCATAAACGAAAGTTGTCCGCGTCACCGATTGGGATTTTTCAACTACCAGTAGCAGCTCGTCTGTCTGGGTTGATGACGTAAATTATTTTGTGAAAGAGGTTAATGTTTTTCTGTCCAAACCACCTAGGTTCCTGCCCTCTTGAGCTTTGAGCTATGCCTTACGCTTCTGTAACATAAAACCAAGCTGTGTTGAGGATGGACTCTTCCTTCTCTGCAGCCTGAGTTCCACATGGCTAACTGTAATAAACTGTCTGAAGAGATCATCCTCACTTCCTGACGCCATTCAAGCCAGCAGAGAGCTGTCAGTTCTGATATTTGCATGACTCAGCTAGTTGAGAGTCCTCTTCACACCCCTCTGAAGAAGACGTGTTACAGAGCCTCAATGTCACCTTGTCAGCATCAAGAGGCCAAGCGGGAACGGCTGCTGCCTGGACAGAAAGGCAACGATGGGGATGCTCATTTGGCCTGGATTTGATATAGTCCTATTTCACAGCTTTGATAATTATCCCAGGGAATTCATAGCACAAAAAATAAAATTCCTCTGCATAATTAAATCCGTGAAAAACATTTCTACCATAGTTTGTGCTTTGTTTAACATACCTGCCAAGTCATGGCTCTAAGCTTTAAAACATGGCCCACCTGCACCCAAATACACAGATTAAAACAGCAGTATTAGTTCAAAGATCAGTTTTCATCTTGTTTACCATTCAGTGGATAAATATGCTTTTTGATGTATTTTGCACATTTAGAAACACAGACAAGGCTCTGAAAGTTAGTCTTGTTGCCTAAATACATCATTGACTAGAAGAACTTCTGGAAAAAGCAGACTTCCAGAGAAGAAAAAGAATCAAGGGGAAACTTTCTGCTTTTTTCTTAACTGAATAATTAACACATACATTTCCAACAGACACAAACAACAGAGCATTAACTACATGAGAGAAAGATGGTTTTATAACCATACTTTAAGGTTTTTCAGTCGTCTGCAGACTTGGATCTTATTCTTCACTTCTGCAGCTCTCTGACAAAAACCTGAACTAACCAGATCCAGGTTCAGCAGACTGAAGGCTCCTCATGCTCCCTGCCAGAGGTGGGGACAGCTGAGCCTCCACAGAGTGCTAAACACTCACCTGCCTCTGACACAGACCCGGCCATCTGCTGCACGGCGGGTTTAATCTATGGACGATTGTGAGGAGCGTGTTTCAGCACAGCCTCACGCAGCTAAGAAGAGAGTGGCTGAGCAACAGACTGTAATGATTATAAACGCTTTAACTTCCTGATGTCCACCTTCAAATTATGAAATGTTCGGAGCTGCCATGTTATCAGATTATAGAAACATGGCAGGGGGACTATTTGATTATTTTATTGATTTGCTGACTTACAAAGAAGCCATTAGTGTCTAACAGTGACAAAACATTTATTTTGATGTAGAGATTTCAACTTAATTAAAAACTCTAATAACATTCAAATTGATTAGTGTATAGATGACCAATGCTCTGCCCCCCGCCTCTGGAACTCTCTACCACCCCAACTTCGAAATACGGACTCAATTCTCCATTTTAAAATACAACTCAAAACCCATCTGTTCAAGATTGCTTATTCTCTTTAAAAATATCAATTTCACTGTCACAGCCTCTGTATTTTTTAAATGTTTTTAAATGTCTTTATAATTATAATTTTTATTTTTTCTGACACTTTTTATGTTTTTGTACGGTGACCTTGAGTGTCCAGAAAGGCGCCTTTTTAAATAAAATGTATTATTATTATTAATGTGTATCAAACAGTCCTGATATAATATAATGTAGAAGTTTTTGAACTAAACTTTGATCAAATCTGTGGAAAGATTTGATCTTCTGCTCAAGGCTTTACTCAGCATGTTTCCTGTAGGTCTGAGGACTGGAGGATACTTCTTCATTTTGTGCTACAATCTTTAATGATCTGAAATGATGGAAGAAGGTTATCATAAGATTTATTAGCACATGGCTCCCTGGACAGCAATGAAACATTTTATAATGCTTCCTCCTCCATGCACCCCGCTGGGGATCAGGCTTCATCATACTCAGGGTTTCTTTTCCCCACTATGAGACAAGTTAGTTAGGAGAACTTTGTTTTTACCCTACCTGCTGTTGTGACTTAAATAAATGGGCCTTTTCCATCACTCCTCAGAATCTATGATCATCGGTTGTCTTCCTGGTTCAGACTGAACAGATTTCTGTTGGCTGTCCTGTTTCTTTGCAGGGAGACGGAGAAGAAGACCAAGGCCCCGAGGACTCTGATCACAGCTGATGGACGAGTGATGAATGTCAACGAGCCCAGGTAAGGGAACAACATAGCGTCAAAAACTTTCCAGTGTTCTCTTAGGTTATCTTTGTGTTAAGTTTAGTTTAATGTCTGAAATATTTAGGATGAAACAAAAACAGGAGACCTGTGTTCCTCACAAAGACTAAAGTGAAAAGCTGAAGTTTAGTTCATGTTTCTAGTAACAGTTTTTCATTAAAGTATTTTTCACTGTGATTCTAGTGTCTTCCCTTAGGATCCATTATGATCTGGATCTTGCTGTGAAATGTTGAATTGATTCTGTTCTAATAGACGTCAGATAAAAGACTGACCTGATATGTGACATGAATCCAAGAGTCTGACTGAATTCTGATGTTTGCTGCTTGTCTTCTTCAGGCTCGCCTTTTCCCTCACCGAGGACGAGGACGCCAACACCGTGGTTTTGGACCTGGCTGTCTACAGGTGAGACCTGCCAAAACTTCTTATACATCAAAGGCATTTAGATTTGAAATTTTCAAACAGTTTTTAAAATTCTGTATTTCAAAAATACAAGGTACACATGCAGAGGAACAGACCTTTGGAAGAAATTCACATTTTCTCTCTTAAAACATAAACGTTTATGAATTTTGGGAAGTATTAACAGCCTGATCAATCTGTGCTTTCATTGATATGAACCATTGATTAAACACTGTAGAACCTTTTGATGAAACTATTCAGACCTGTGCTGAATACATTTTAACACAGTAAAGAGGGACTGACTTTAATGGCTGGAAGAAATAAAAAAAACAACTCACAGCTTCAGTAGAAAAGTAATAAAAAAACAACAGGCCACAGTTTAAATGTTGTCTGTAGATCACGCACCTGCTAAGGTTCTCTCTAGAAACACTGAAAGCAAAGTTCAAGAAAAAAGCTCTAAAGCCTGATAATTAATGTAGCTTGTTTCTTTGGTTGTGATGTGTTTCAAAATTTAATCATGGTTCCAAACTCCTGGCATTTAGTGTGTGAGAAGGTTCGTGAGCAGATTTACACAGATACAGACCTTTAACTCCAACATTCAGAACATCACCTACAGGGTGTCTGCTTATCTGTTGTTTTAATAAACCCCATTTAGAGCCTATGTTTGGAAACTTAATCTTTATTCCCCTTCTGAACCTTCTACTTCACTGCAGACACATGGACACCTCCCTGCTGGATGTGGACGTTCAGCCGACGTACGCCAGAGTTTGCGTCAAAGGAAAGGTACGCTGCTGGGAGGAGCTCCTCACATACAATCAGTTCAAACTTCTCACTGCACGGTTTCACTCCCACACAAAACTTTTAGGAGCGTTTTTAAACAGAATTTCCTTTTTTTGCTTTTAGTCTTTCACAAAAAGATGATTGAAAGCAGCTCATTTTAGTCTGTGAGAAAAGAGAAATCTTCTGATAGGGGAAATGTTTTCATCTTTTAATTCTCCACCTCCAGATGCCAGTTTTGTTTAAATAGATAAACTGAAAGTCCTGTTAAAAAGAGACTAATTCAGTTATAACATTCATCTTTCAGTAGCTTGTCCGTCTCAGGAAGAGGCCATGGCTACATCTGTTCCAGTCCATTCGGTCTGCAAGTTTTAAACTCACGGACAAACAGGTGCCATCAGACAAGCTCCAAAAAAAAACGAAAAAAACAAACAAAACGCTGTTGCTTGATTTACAAAGACCCATTTCTAATCGGTTCTGTTTAGAATTTTCTGGCAAAACCGTCTGTGGCTACGGTCCAATGTTCTGTTCTGTCTTGGAACAACCTGTCCAGCCTGTGTTAGAGGCTGCGGTTAGCCATTGAATTGCAGAACACAGAAGGAAATTATTATGTATGTCTCAACATACGAGATTTTGAATCTTAATTATTGAATTTAGTTAAAAAAATATGAATCTACATATTGACTAATATATTTATATTGAGTATAACTTTAATATTTTACATCAGTTTTTATAAAGTTTCTCACTACATCCAACCAAGTTTATTTCTCTTGAAAAATGTTTTTGCTTTTCATTTGTTGCCTGAACTGTTACCAGAAATCATACCATAAGATTTTACTTAAAGCAGGTGTTTGGTGAAATTCTTTTTTTCAGTTTTTTTTTTTTTTTTTTTTTTTTTTTAGCATACTCAGAGAAATTGAAATCAGATATTTAAATAAAAATCTAAACCTATTTTCTATAAAAATTGATTCTAAGCTTGGAAGGTTACAGTTAAAAACCTTTTAAAAAGCAAAGTAGGAGAACAGAATCAGAAAAGTCCCATTTTATGACAAGTACAACAATGTTTAACTTGACAGATACACACAAAGAAACTATTAAACACTAAATAAAGTCTATTTGTTTTTTGTATTAAATCAGACAGTTTACTGCCTCGTTCTGCTCAGTGTTTTTCCTCTGGGTGTTTATTGCTGCTGATGAAGGAAAACTCAGTCCTTCCTGCAGGTCTGACAGTTTTCCTTCAACCTCTGAAACATTTAAACCTCCATAGACCCACCTGATAAACCTGTGAGCTTTCGTTTCCGTCCTTCACCACATACACACCACCTCCTGCAGTGTGGAGTCTTGAATACCTCAGCTCCTCTCCCAGTATTTATGTGCGCTAGTTTTATGCCAGGATTCAGCCTGATTGGACGTTGGGTTGATTCATGCTGCGATACATCTCCTCAGGCTTTCAAAAAGTCTCTGTTAATATGAGCTCATTCAGATGAGCAGGAAGAGGCGACTCTTGGAAGCGTAGATCATGTCTTACTTGGAGCTGAACTTCCCCTGCTGCTCTCTGCACAGATCCCATTAAATCCAGCCTAACAGTCTGGAATTAAATCAAACAGAAACACCAGAAACTCTAATTCTCTGTCCAATCTGTTCCCAACATCAATCCTTTTTAATTTTCCCAGGAATCTCTCTCTCGTCCGGTTGATTGCACAGCTATTCTGGTCTCTTTCTGCTGTCCTTTCTAGTAACTGTGTCTATAAAAAGATCTGCTAATGATTAGAGTCGTTTGACTCTGGGAAAGTGTCGGCGGCGGATCACCGCATCAATCTCACTAATTAAAGCTCTGAATAATTCACTTTGCAGATATTTCAGGTGGTTCTTCCAGCTGAGGTGAAGCCCGACAGCTCGACGGCTCAGAGGTCCCAAACCACCGGACACCTGGTGCTGAGGATGCCCCGGGTTGGTACCGCTGCTCTCTGGTTCCAGTCTCAGCCAGGTTCAGCTTTGTGATGCAGAGACGGACAGGAAGTCCAGCTTTTTGCAGCGCGGGTTAATTAGAGTGATGTGTGACTTTCTGCTCTCATTTATGCTCCTCAGAGGATGGATCTTAATCACTGCTGATGTCCAGTTTAGAGGGAAATGTTTTATCTTTATCATTCCTCACAAATGTTTTCACAAGTCTTTACTTTTTTTCCTTTTTACACATGAAAACCCCAAAATTGTATTGCTATATTATGTGAGGCTTTAAGAAATAAAAAGTCTATTGCTTTTTTTTTAAGGGCTTGGGACTTTTGATCTGGAGATCATGGTTGAATAGTTACATTTTAGTCAGCTGGATCTAGAGCTCCTGGACTTTGACTAGGCCATTCTGACAGACAAATATCTACTTGTTGTCTTCTGCTCAGCAGAGACATCCAGGCCACCCTCTCTCCAGCCAACTCCTCCAGCTCCTTTGGGGGAAGCTAGAGACATCCAGTATGTTCCAGTGAACATGTTTTCATCTAAACCAGTGTTTTTCAACCCTGGTCCTCAAGGCACACTGCCCTGCATGTTTTAGATGTTTACCAGCTTTCACACACCTGTTATCAATTGATAACAGATTATGAGGCTTTGCTGAACTGCAATCATTTGAATCAGGTGTGCTGAAGCTCAGAAACATCCAAAACATGCAGAGCAGTGTGCCTTGAGGACCAGGGTTGAAAAACACTGATCTAAACCATCATATCTGTGGCAGTATGTTTGGGGTTATCATATTGCTGGAACCTACTTCCCAGTATGGAACCTACTTCCCAGCATAATGCTGCCTCCACCATGTTTCACCCTGGAGATGTTATGCTCAGAGTGTTAGCGTAGGCTAGGTCAGGACATTTCACGTTGGTCTCAACTGTCCAGAGCACCTTCTTTAAGATAAATGGTGTCCTCCTAAAGCCGGGTATACACTGTACATTTTTTTTCATCATTGCACGCAGCTACAGCTCACACTGTGCGACGAAACCACAGGGTTTAAAAGTTCACAGCTCACTATGCATGTTCTCACACTGTGCAGCCTGACGCTATGATGATCTACCCGTTCACACTATACGCCTAAAAACCATGTTGGACTGAGCTGGCGCCGCTCGGACTCGTCTATCTGGAAGCCAAATGAGTAGAAGGGGAAAAAGCCAGAAGTGTGGATGCCTCCTGTTAAATATGAAGCTCAGTAGAGAGAAACGCGCTGCCTTGGCAATTTGTGCAATTTTGTGTGCTGAAAGCCCTAAAAAGAAAAGGTGATGATGCATTTGGACAAAGACATGGCTGAGCAAACGTGGCTACTACGGTCTGACAATTTTACAGAAAGAACTCCATTTCAGTCGCACCCCCGCCATGCTTCTTTGTTGTTGTCTGAAAGGAAGAAAAAGAAGGATCCTTGTTTGCGTATTTGCACTGAGTGATTTGCCCACGACCACCTTACGACAGCCAATTAAATTTCAACATGTTTGATTTTTTCCTGAGCTTACAATTCCTGATCGGGAGGTGGCCATGAGAGGCTCTCCCCTCGTTATCCCCTGTACACTACACGACGCACGATAAGGCGGAAAGTCGGCCCGATTCAAAAATTCTCGCAGGACTACAGAATTAGCCTGAGAAGGGCAAAAAGTCATACAGTATACACCAGCTTGGAGCGGGCTCCAGAGTCACCATGTACCTCTTGGTTGCTTCTCGGATATTGTTCTCCTTGTCCACCTGCCAGGCAAGGTGAACATTATCTTTGTAGATCAGCAGTCAGTCCATCCTTTCTCTATGTCTAGAGGATGGAGTGAGAAGAGATCTGGGAGATATTCAAAGCTTTGGATGTCGCTTTAGAACCAAGCCCTGCTTCAAACTGAATCAGAACATCCTCTATAACTGGTCTGCTGGGTTTCTTGGTCCTCAGGATGCTATGGATCTTCTCTAACAAATCTCTTAAGCCAGAAGCAGAACAGCTGCTTTCCGACTGAGTTGAAATTATAAACAGGTGCACTCTGATCACCAATGAGGTGGTTTGATGGCAGTTAGCTCAGTTAGTTAGGCCTGCTATCAGAGTAAACTTAGCCGAATCCCAATGCGTACACCCTTTTTGGATTTTATTTGTGAAGAACCAAATCTAACTCAGGTGTCCTTTTACTTCTGCTTTAAAAGTCTTGGCTACTTTTTGTATCTTAGCAAATAAGATACACTAAAGTTTGTGGCTTGGAATAAATACCAAGCAGATTTATTAAAACTTAACCTTAATCAGACATGACTGATGGGTGAAGTCTAAAATTTAAGCTCAGCTCTGTATGCTCTACATAGGCTGGTAAAAAAAAAAAACGGGTAGATGTAACAGCCGATACATTCTGCATTCTTTGACCAATAGATCTGTACTGGGACTCTAGGATTGCTGGTTAACTTTTTTATTATTTTTACACTTAACATGAAATATTATAGGTGTGTTGAAGCTTCTAAAAACAAACGAAAAAATGACAGAACATTTAAACCTGTTTGTTAATGTTTTCTTCCAAAGTTCCACTGAAGGGAACATGAACAAAGGCAAGTGATAGTATGCAGCCATTAATCACCTCCATTGCTTCTGCTACATCCTGCATCACAGCATGAGTAAACAGCTCAGGAAGCCAAACCAGGACCAGCCCACTGATCTTTGTCTTCTGTGTTCCATCAGGCTGAAGGTGAACTCAAAGTGAAGAAGAACGTCCCACGTCCGCGCAGAGAGACTCAGAGTTGCAGCAGCTCAACAGAGGACAGGTAGCCATATGTCTGCTGTTACTGCACCTGAAAAGCAGATGTTTTACTTTCCCTAAAAAGAAGCCGAACAGATGCTTCATGTTTTGTCTACCACAAAACTCAGTACTGTGTGTCAATAAGAAAAGCCCAGGTCTTGAAAGAAATCTTTGTTTGATAATAACGGGACATAAATATGAGCAGAGCTTAGACCCCTATGCAGCCACTCCAGCCAATACATGTTTATATTCCATAAAAAATAAACATGTACAATGTGGGACTTACAGTAACTTTCCTGGCACTTAGAGGAAAATAGCAGGTAGTCTTGGAAACATACAGGTCAGTTTCCTTGAAGTTACGGGTTACTTTTCTCAAAACTAGAAGGCACTCTCAGGAACTTTAAGGTGACTTTCCAGGAACTTACACGTTACTTTTACAGAAATAACAGAGAACTCTCATGAACTTATAGGTTACTTTTCACACACAGCTTACAGCCTTTTAAAAAATAAAAGTAAATCTTGTAAGCGTATGAGATAATTTCCTATAACTTAAATGATATATTAAAATTAGGGGTGTGAGAGAGAAGCTTTGGGTCAAAGTAGAATGTGATGTCCATTTGACTGTGGGTAGGAAATGAAGGATGCTGAGCTTGTTTTTGAACTGAATCTATTGAAGTGAATCTTTACAAACAAATGAGGTTCCTTTTCCAGGGTAGAAATGACCCTTTTGACCCCAAGGTTACTGTTACAAAAGTTTTCTTGATTTTACGGGTTGCTTTTCTTGAAACAAAATTGTGTACTTAAAGATTACTTTCCAAGATTTTACATGTTGCTTATACAGATATAACAGAACACTATAGGAGTCATGTTGATTTATACTTTTAAGACTCACATGCAAAATCACACGGAGTGAACCACTGGATTTTAAAATTTTTATTTACAACAGCAAAAAGATTCTGGAAGTGGAGAACAGCTGAACTTACCGGTTGGTCTGATGGTAGAAAGCAGACTGATCAGGAAGGAGTTGATGGATGAGAACTGATGACTGATTGCTTTGTTACCTGAGGGATGAAGGGGAGGTAGCATGGATCTGTAGGGTGAGATCTGAGAATGTTGGTACTTCAAATAGATGTTATGCTGGAGAGCGGGAAGGTGTTAAAGACAGAACTGCTGCACTCAGGTAAGACCTTTCCATGAAGATCAGAGACAAACTAAAGTTCACTGGTTGTCATTGGGAGTAAGCATCCAGCAAAGAGAGATTAACCTTTGCCTCCTTATACACATGCTCGTCATCTTGATTGAGAAATGTTTTCATGTGTGCGGCAACACTGGTTGGCCCAGTCACCAGCAAAGATCATCTCTGTGACAGAAAGCTTACTCACACCAGAGAATAAGCAGAGCCAGATATCCAAACAATACCCCTATTCAATGACTGCCCCTGGCGACTCAGAAGAGGAAGGGCGAGAATCCCCAAAGTCCCGAACAAGGTCAGAGTCCAAAATAAAAGAACGAGGGATCCAAGACTGTTCCTCAGGTCTATAACCCTCCAAATCATCCAGATACTGGACACCCCTTCCTCTTCAACAAGTATCTCAAATCCTTTGCACCTTGCAAATCCTTTGAAGGCTGGGTGACTGCCAATGTCTCGGGCCGGTGGAGGGGTACTGGAGGGATCGCAAAGAGGACAAGACAGGCTTGATCAGAGAGACATAAAAAACAGGATTCATTTTTAAATAATCCTGCAGCTTGAGGCAATTGAGCACTGCCTGCATTTCAAATGGACCGATGTATCTGGGAGAGTTTGTGATTAGAAGCCATCTAATGTCACAAGATGATAGCCAAACCCTTTGTCCAGGTGATTACTGGCGAGCAGAAATTCTTCTCTGATTGGCTAGAGGTCAATTTGTTTCCACTAACCGGTTCAAGGCTCGAACCATCAGGTTCCAGACACGTCTCCAGTCCCGAATGTGGTGTTTGACAGAGGTAACAGCAACGTCCTGGTAGTCATATAGAAACAGGGTGGTTGGTATCCTTGAGAGGACTCAAAGGAAGACAGACCCGTAGCAGAGGAAGTGTGTCAAATATGTACATATTTGACCCAACACAATTGAGTACACTTTGATGATGTGTGTGACGAAAGAGGCAGCAGATAATTCCATCAGCTAGCGACTTATTTATGTACTTTTCCATGCTCTCTCTCTCAGGCTTGAACAGATTATACAACCTACTGGAGGGGAGAGGAGCTCCAGGAAGTTGCTCAATAGCACACAGTCATATGTGTGGTGAGAGAGAGCCTTAGACTTACTGAAAACCCGATGAAGGTGATAATACTCAGGGGGAGCCCGGGAGTGGTCTACTGCAGTTTCCTTTTATTGAGAATTTAAGACTGCAGAAACTGCCAACTGTAGACAGTTAGACAGTGATTACTCCATGACTCTATTATCTTTCTAGTTTAGGTGAGGATTACGAATGGTGAAGCAGGAGTACCCTAAAATAATGTGAGATTAGGGTGAAGAGAACAGGAAAGAACATTTTTCTTCAGTATCACTGCCTGACACCAGAAGTTTTACTGGTTCCGCTGGGTGCGTGATTGCATACAGAGGACTTCCATCTAGAACCGAGATATGAAGTTGTTCAGGAAGGCATACAACATGAAGTTGTATTTGCATAATTAAATTGTTATCCATCAGACTTTTCTCACAATCAGAATCCATTAAAGCAAAAGAGGGAATGGTTGATTCAGTAGGAGAGAGCAGGGTAATGTCATGTTGGAAAATCTGTTAAAACTTCCCACCAGTGAGCCCTCCCTTTTAGCTACTTTGGTCAGGAAGAGATGAAGTGACCAATCTCACTGCAAAAAAGAGGGTGTCTGAATGTCTGTTTGAACTCACAGATAAACCGGTCTAAGGAAATTTAGAATTAAAACTCAGCTCCAAGTCCACTGCAGGGCTCAACCTCAATAATCAGATCACAAATGAGATTTTATCCTCATCAAACAAGAAAGACCTGGAGATCGACTGAAAACTAGTGAACAGGAATCCACCACACCTTCCAATTTCACCCTCATAAGGGTTGGGTGTGGGGGAATTGGCAAAATTAAAACGAGACTTTGCAGGAGCCACTGCATGAAAAGTGGGATTTTCGTCAATATGCGGCACTGTAGATTGTCGTGGAACTTCAGGTTAGCGGCAGTTTACGACAATTTGCAGGCTTCGCCGAAAACTCCCGTAAATTGTCAGAAATTGACGTGGACTCTCTTAGGCAGTGTTCCCCCCATGGAATTCTAGGGGAGGCTTTAACATGTAAATGAACATGCTGTGAGCTATACAAATGCAAATCAGGGTTGCAGGGGGGGGTTTACTCCAAGTGAAGGTAAGAATACAAAGAGATCAGGCTCAGTAGCCTCTTACATTTTAGCTTGAATTGATTTATTTAATGAAAGTATAGAGACCAAAACAGATCTTTAGCTGACAGAGCAATACATTTAGAGCAGTAATTATAAAAAAAAAATTGCATTTAAGATAAAAAATAAAATGTTGTCTGTCAATATGCTCAATTCACAATTACTTAAGTGGAAAAGTTTCAAGAAATGAGTCTGAGATGATTCACTTTATAACATGGCGCATTATCCTGTTGGAAGTAGCCATCAGAAGATTGGTACACTGTGGTCATAAGGTCCGGCCAGGTCAAGATCCGCAATTGCAATCGCACCAAACAGGAAAAAGAACATCGACAAATTCCGGTTCGTCAAATTAAAATATAGCAGCAACAGATCGGTGACTAGAAATTATAGCACAATTCTTATATATACAAAAAAAAAAACTAACACCGTTTATTTAAATGATTGGATCCAAACTTTTGGTTATTCACCAACGAGGAAGCAGATTTCTCATCTCCATCAAAATATTTATTTTATACCGAGGGACTTAAACTTTAATCAAATCCATTCAAAAGAAACTTCTTATTACAGGAATGAAAAGAGATGTTTTGGAGAAGAGAACAAGTTCATTCAAAAAAAGCAGTTTTGAATTATCCTTATCCCCGTTACAAAAATCTACAAATATATATATATATATATATATATATATATATATATATTTGGGCAGAAACTGAACATATGCTGGATGATGGTGGGATTTTTTTAATATGTCATATTAAATTAAGCGCTCACAGGGTTCATACAGGAATGACTGACTCTAATTTAATGCTATTTGAAATGATTTTAATGCCATCATCAAGAACCATGTACACAAGTTATTAGTGTACATGAAATATGAAGGAGCTGCAAGCACAGTTCCATGACTCCTGTATGTATGTAAACACACACACACACATATACGTATATATATATCCTCTAGCTTTTTCTCCGCCTGGAGCGATATAATATATCTGACGAAATTGTTTTTATAAGCATTTTTTATTAAAGAATTATAAATACTTCGATAAACATATTTAAATAATTTTAGTGCCAATTAAGGCCTTGATTTAAAAAAAAAAAAGAATGATTTTTTAAATTATTTTTATTGATCCGCGGACACCCTGGTTCATCTCGCGCATGCTCTGTACGATCTCCAAGAAACTCAAGAGCGGCGCGGTGTGCAGCCACAGTGGAGCATGGATGCTTTGCTTTGTGCAGACGGTCTGGAGCGTCTGGATTTCGGGGTAAAACTCCTCTTGGACGCGATGGCGACTCTGCATCGAACAAGACGAACTCAAAGAAGAGATGCTAGCGGTAAATATATGTTCGATTACTGCCTGCTAAGCTAAAAGCAGCCTAGCCTGAGCTACGGCTAATAGCAGCCTAGCCTAAAGCTACTGCTAATAGCGGCTAATAGTAGCCTTGCAAGAACAAGCTTTATTAAAGTGTATTTTTTGTGATTTACAGAAAGCAGTAGGCCGTCTTAACAACTCGGAGACTAATTGCAGGCGCTATGAACCGGAGCAAGGGTAAGATTTAAAGAATATGCTTTCATTCTGCGGTAAAAGGCAATGGATACGGATGGATACCGATCATAGCTTTACATT